CAACCAAAAGTAAGTCTCAAATGCTTAACAAAGTATCAAGATGATAATTGCACAAGTGCACACATAAACAATGCCTACTTCAAAGTAGGATTTTCAATAATCGGAAATTTCCTACTTTGATGTAGGTCTTTAAACAATCAGAAATCGCCTACTTCAAAGAATCAGAAATTGCCTACTTCAAGATAGGTCTTTAAATAAAAGTGTATTATACCACAAATATGATTTCGCAATGCCTACAGGGATATGTCTTCAATCATGCATCTTTATCCTACTTCTCATGACAAGATTAATTGAAAACGATACAAGATTACAGTCAAAGCCACACAAAGTGATGAGAAAACTCTATCGAAAGCCACCTTGAATTTCTTTGATGAAGATTACGGTCTTAATTTACTTCAAACCCTTCTTGAAATTTTTCACTCAAGTCCTTTTTTATTTACTAACGTAAAAAAAATTAATCATCACAATTAATAAAAAATATTGAAACAAGTAAAAAAAATGAAGTTTCAGGAAGTGTAAATTGAGTACATGGTGCTGCAGGCAAAAGTTGGCGCAGAGCCCATTAAGAATGAATCCAATAAGCATTTTTGTTCATAAGCCATGTGTTATACAAAAATAATTCCATGGGCCAAGGCGAAGAGGGCTTATAGCTCGATCCAATAACACACCAAACCCATTTCAGATTCTACTCAACCTTACTCTCTTATTATTGTTGGATTTTATATAAAAGAAATAAAGAATAAAAAGATAAATATTCCTTCTCTCTGTTCCTCTTCGTCTTCTTGCTTCTTCTTCGTGCGGTTTTCGAATTGCTCAGTTATCATGCGTGTTGATGTTGTTGTTGATTTCGTGGATGAAAATTATTGTTGAAGAATGAAGGTTGACGATGAAGAGCGAAGCGGTTGCAATGATTGTGATTCGGTTCAGAGAGAAAGATGATTGTTGAAGGTTGTTGAGGTTGACGGATTGAAGAAGATGGTGATGCTACGAAGAACGTGAGATTGATGGTGATGATTGTAGATGAAGAATGATGAAGAGCGATTTTGAGAGAGTTTGATGGAGATTTCTTGGGAGTTCTATAACTGATTTTTCTGTGTCGAATAATTGTATCTCTCTCTGAGTTTGTGTGCTGAATGTGTATAATTGTTGTGAATGAATCTCTCTGGTTTTTGAATAATACTCAGTGTCCAAATCTGTTAGAAGCCGAGAATCTGTTATATGGTTTTGGATTCTGTTAGGGAATTGGTTAGAGGACAGTTGAGAGTTAGTTACAAGGTTGAGAAACGGTGAGGACTATTTGGATTCTGTTATGACTTTCTCTGATTTTCTCTCCTGACTTTTTTTATTTTCCTCCTTATTTTCTGAACTGAAACACAGGCCAGACTGCATTGTCGGTTTTATTCTCAGGGATGTGTGACGAGAACTTGTTGCAAATGGCTTATGGGTTGGATCACTTGAACTTGAGTGAGATATTAGCATGAATATTAGGCATGAGTTGGATCAAGCCCGAAGATCGACTATGGAGACTTTGGTCATGAATGAAGATTATGGACACTCATACTTAATGTAGATTTTGGTAGAAATCATAAGTTTTTTTTTGTGAATTTTCTCTTGAACATATCTTGTAACATATAATGTAGAACTTTGATGAAATTACATGAAATTAGTAGAACTTTGATGAAGCTCGAAAGTTACTTGAATCTTTGTTCTAAAACCCTATGAACTTCGAAGTTGAAATTGCCTCTATAAATATCTTGTAACTTCAAACTCGACCAAGCCAAATACATGTCACTTCCAATATCATAAGCTCTAAACACTTTGGTTCATTTGATTCCCTTGGAATTCGTGGTATGAGTTTCCACCTATCCACCTTTTTAATCTCCATCAAACTTGTATAACAAATAATAAGGAAAACAAAATAACTTAATCATAATGAGTCCATAACATTATTCTGGTATACGTGTTGATTTGATGACCCTTATATAGGAATTGAAGTGCAAAAAGAAATATGACCAAGATAATCTTAATATAAACACCCCATTTGAAATCATGATGAGATCTTAAACACACAAGTTAAATCCTAATGCACCTGCTCCTTGAAGAATTTCGAAGAAGATAACTTTGTACCCTGATGAATCTTGAGCAAGGCAACAACCTTAATCTATAGGGAAAACTCTAATGTCAAGAGCCCTTTGATCCCATATCATTGAATTAATGCAATGCAAATGATTTGTATGATGACGAAGCATAAGTTATATTTGTTTATAAATAAGAGAGTAAATTTTAGAAGGTAACAAAAATCTTTTGAAGAAGTTAGAAATCTTTTAAAATCTTCTAAAATAATATAAAAGTGAGAATAAATCATATTCAATTGTAGGAACAACTACGATGAACTTAGGAAGAACATATTTCTCATTTTTTTATTCAAACAATCACAACACCGAAATATACAATTTTTATTGAGGAAGAAAACTTTACCTGCCCTTGAATGAAGAAGATCAACACTTACAATCACTTGTTTCTTCTCACAAACAACATTTATTTTATGTAATCACAAATACATGGCAGTGATTCATGTAAATATCAAGTATAAATCATGAAAAAATAGTTGAATAGAGGAAAAATAGAAAGTATAACTCACAAAATACTGGTGGAAACGTGCTGCCGCCACTGCAGATTTACCACCGCAAAACCGCAAACTATCATCAGATTTACAGTAAAAAACCGAAAAAGAAGTATAGTTATTTTTCAAAAAGTCAAAAGTGTCCTTTATTAAAAAAGTATACATTCATGAGCTAAAGTGGAAATATGTCATCTTTACTCACTTTCTTCTCAATTTGGAGAGAACTAAAAAAGAGTTGTGGGTCTCACAATATTTTATTCTCTCTTCACAATTTCACTGGCTCTTCCAATCAAGAGAAGTTACTCATTTCTCTTCAACCTCTCTCGCCTTAAATTCTCTCTTACCAATTTCTATCATTCCAATCAGAGTGTTAAGGTCTGAATTTATATCTTTTTTATATGAATGGAACAAAGAGAGTCACAGGCATCAACTCTTTACCACCAGAAAAATCCAATCAGGACCATTAGAGTATATTATGTGGTGCATATCCTCTTATATATTGCAACATAATCCAAACCATCCATGTCTTATCATTTCTATGATACAAACATCAAAGTGTTAATTTCCTTGGAGGAAGAACCTTAGTATTAACTTGTACAATTTTTCTTATTTCATTGTTGTTGTCACCACTCTATGGCCTCCTTATTGCTTAGTGGTGCTGAAAATACAAAGCTGATTAGTACCATAGTTCCATCTGGATTAGGTTCTGTTAGTCTAAGCTTTCACAAAAAGTGCTTCTTCAAAAAAAATGCAGTTTCATATGGTAACAAATACAGGACTACAAACTTGACACTGCGATGCAGCAGCGTTTCATCGACGAGGCCTTCTTCTCAGCCTAGATTCATCCAACACAAGAAAGAAGCATTTTGGTTTTACAGGTTTTTGTCTATTGTGTATGATCATATAATAAATCCAGGTCATTGGACTGAAGACATGAGAGATGAGGCACTTGAGCCTGCTGATCTTAACGACCGGAGAATGCGAGTTGTGGATGTTGGGGGAGGAACTGGATTCACTACTCTTGGTATAGTGAAACATGTTGATGCTAAAAATGTTACAATTCTTGATCAGTCTCCTCATCAATTGGCTAAGGCTAAGCAGAAGGAAGCATTGAAAGAATGTAAGATAGTTGAAGGTGATGCAGAAGAACTTCCGTTTCCAACTGATTATGCCGACCGATATGTTTCTGCTGGAAGGTAAGATAATTGTCTTTATGTTTCCTGCAAATTGTGCTATCTGTCTCCTGAAGTATCAATGTAACACAACATTATCTGTTGTTCAGTATTGAATACTGGCCTGATCCGCAGCGAGGCATTAAAGAAGCATACAGAGTGCTGAAAATTGGAGGCAAAGCATGCATTATAGGACCAGTATACCCAACTTTCTGGTTGTCTCAATTCTTTGCAGACATGTGGATGCTCTTCCCTAAGGAGGAAGAGTATATTGAATGGTTTAAAAAGGCTGGTTTCAAAGATATCAAGCTTAAAAGGATAGGTCCAAAATGGTATCGTGGTGTACGGCGGCACGGCCTAATCATGGGCTGTTCTGTCACTGGTGTCAAGCGTTTATCAGGTGACTCTCCCCTTGAGGTACTATCACGACACCCTTCTCAAATTCTTCTTTAGATATCAAAATTTATCAAGCACCAAGTTCTTTAATGCATGTCTTTATGCAGCTTGGTCCTAAGGTAGAGGATGTAGAGAAGCCTGTAAATCCATTGGTGTTTCTCTCAAGGCTCATTATTGGTGCAATTGCAGCTACTTACTATGTTCTAGTTCCAATTTACATGTGGATCAAGGACCAAATTGTCCCAAAGGGTGTGCCTATTTAATCAAAGATTGGAGAATCAGGTGAAATTGGGTAGGAAATGGTGGTCAAGTTTTGATGGTTGAAATTCTCAAGGCTTAATTTGTTGAAATATTCTGATATTTTAATAGTAAACTAGGTCTAGTGATATTTTAATACCTGAACAAAGAGATACTTATTATTCTTTCTTTGAATAAAAATTGTTGTTTTCCACCATTTTAAATACTAGTAAATATTTAATATTTCAAACCAATCACGATTATATAAAGCCAACAAGGTTGGGAAACACAGGCAGAAAAATAAGATGTATTGAAGAGAGGAAGCAACAGCAAACAGCAAAAGAAAGTGGCCAAGGTGCAATGCAGTGCAGAGGCTTTTTCTATAACAATATGGGAAAATGTGTGTGACTTAATAGATTACTGAATAATCTTTTTTCTGCACAGCAATTCATCCACAGACATTAACTTGGCTTGATTCTTTGAAATATAAATGATACATATATTTTGGTCACTTATCACAACAATACAATTCATTAAAATAAATGTCATCCTTAGTTTCCAGCAACCCAACCTCATGCTTTGCCGGTTACTCGCTGAGCAATCCAACCTAGACCATCATAAAGGCCATCTCCTGAGAGGGCACTGCAAGCTTGTATATGCCAATCATGATCCTTGATGCTGTGAAGAGACAGTGCATCAGTAATCTCAGCTGGAGTCATAGCATCTTTGATATCTTGTTTATTAGCAAAGACAAGGATGACAGAATGCTGCAAATCTTCATGACTCAGCAACCTAAAGAGTTCATCCTTCATTATAGAGATTCTGGCTCTATCACTGCTGTCTATCACTGCAATTACAGCATTAGTTCCTCGGTAATACGTTGCCCATGATGTCCGGAGTCTTTCTTGTCCACCAAGATCCCATACCTGAAAAGAATGACAAATTTGAGTGAGTAATATCTCATCATGCCCAATAGCAGAGCTTGAAAATTCCTTACTATATGTAGTTTAAAACCAGATAGAGACACAGATTATCATCAAAAGAATCAAAACTTACCCCTTTCACAAAGAGAATGATAATTAGCAAAGGAAGTTGATTCTAAAAGGTCAAGTGTTTGTGTGAGGCTTACACCTAAAGCCACTTTTATTTAACAAAATAAAAAAATTGCATCGCTAGAAAACAACTCTATTCACCACAAGATTGATATGTGCAAGCCAAAAATTTAGCCAAGTGTGATGCATAACTGTGCACCTCAATTTTTGTTGGCAGCACTATTTTTAATGTAAAAAGTGAAAACAAATGCACTAAGAAGGCGTGCCCTCTTCAAAACAAGTAGACCCCAAAGGTAACAACAACATTCAGACTGAAACACCCAAGCATTCGGAAAAACTGAATGCCAAAAATCGTGGTTAGGGTTGTAGAGAATATAGGGCAGCATTTGTTGTCATTGCACATGCATCATTTGTTGTCAAGAGACATGCTTGTTAGTTCCATGGGAACTAGTGAATTGTCCCAAACCTAGAGAGGGGTTTGAAGCTTATAGGACGGGCTTTTGTGTTATTGGTCTAGAGGACGGACCCGGTTTAAAGTAAAAACCGAATAAATGTAGTAAGCATCTCACAAGAGATACACAAATAAAAATTGTCCAGGACAAAGTTTGTGTCTGGTCGTAGAATCTGAATATTACTCGTGGAGGATCAAAGTATTTATACAGAAGCTGAAGCTGATAGAAATAGAACAGCTCCTTTCATGTTATGAATAACTGTTTTAACTAAATGTAAAACTGACTTAACATATTATGAATGATACCTTCCTGCTTAGGAAAGAAATTATCTTATTTAGCTGCTGAGTAAATTGCATTTGCAATTTATTAGCTTCTTTATTCCTGACGTACATAAAGGATTTAGCTTCTTTACAATTTATTAGCTTCTTTCTCGGGTGTATAAAGCATGTATGTACACGCAGTGTTACCTTTGAAGACACTCCTTTCTTCACTTCATCCGTAACTCAACAATTTGTCTCTCATGTATTTCCCATTTCTCCTTCTATTCCATTTGTTATTAGATATGACCGTGTAGGTATTCAGCGTCACAGGCAATATTTGATTCATCGTTTTTAGACCAAAGACTCGAGGCATTTTGCAACATTTCTTAAAATTTAAGTTGCATCCTAAAGTTGAAGTTTTCAAACCAATATTTGTTATTACAAGACATGACCGTGTTATTATTGAACCGTAAAGATTAGCTCAAGAGCTCTACAGTGTTGAAAAATGGCAGAAAAGATAAACCAGAGTTTCTAGAATTCCTAAGCAGAGCACTGTGCTCCTAACAGACTCTCCTAACAAACTCAACCATGATTGAATACCTTTCACCTAGACTCTCCATCCCTCAAATAACCAACTCTTCTAGAATCGCATAGAATATTCTAACTAACTCTCCTTCTGCCACCTACTAGATGGTGAGCCTAATAGAATGTGCTGATGTAATTAGGCCATCTGTGTCATAAGGCCTAGTCCTATCATACACTAATAATGTTGCATATCGGTCTACATGTCCTTATGATCCATGGTCGCCTTTGATTATTGTGTTCTTGTTGTTGAAAGGACTCTTATTTCATGGAGAAAAAAAGGCATAATGGTGCTCTTAGATATAGGGCAGAAGCATAAAATTGGGCTATGGCTCTTACTATATTTGAACTTATTTGGACGAAACAAATTCTGAGTAAGAAGTTATGTAAATTAAAGCCCACGGGTCTCTTTTGCAATAGCCAATAGCCTTGCCTATTGCGTCCAATCCTGTCTTCCATACGAGAAAGCAAATTGGGTGACCTTTGTTTGATCTGCCTTTTTTATATTCAGCTCAATTCTATCTTTATCCCAATGTCAGGCTGAGGAACTACACACTTAGAGATTGATTGTGATTTTATCTATGAGAAGATTGTCTATGGAGATATTGTTATTTGTCACGAGAGATTGCTACCAACATCAATTGGACTGATGGTGCATCTGAACTCAGAAGCTTGGTATTATCCCAAAAAAAATGTTTCCCCGAGGTGAATTTGTGAGATTATCTTAAATCCATGTTGATCAATACTCTTTTAAGCAAGCAATGTTTTGATTAATCACAGCTTATGCTATACTATTAAAGATATTGTGGGCTGACATATGTAGTTTGCAGCCATGCCAAGATGCGCAGCACATCTCCGTGTAGCACTTCAAAGACTGGGCATATATAGGGACCTTGATTGTGTTCTCTGCTTCTTGGAAGGACTCAATAAGACAATAACAGATATAGTCCCAAGTCTTGCTGATGGACCCCTTAACTTCTATCAATAAGGTGTTCTGAACAGTCGTCCAACAGGAAAGACAACTTTGGGTTGGAACATTATCAGACCCCACTATCTAGCAAGAAATCAACTTCAAACTATCCCGGAACCCCGGAAATGTAGGGTAGAGGCCGTTCATCTCATGGTACTCCAAAAATGTCCACAAAAGTTCTAGATGTAAGTCCTGAAAGGCGGCCAATCGTGACGCAACTATAGCACCAATGAAGACTGGCATCGGGAAACTTCTATACAATGTCATACTATTGAGAAAATTCAAGCCCTACTTGTATTGCTCCCACAATCAAATTCTATAACCACAACTCATGATTCTAATCATGTCAGTTCTCACAATATAACCACGCCCCCCTAAAGATAAGGGTAAACCCAGTGCACCATAAATCTTAGACTTAGGAATTACAAATGACATATTTTCCTCCTTATCTTTTTTTCAACACCTATAATACCATTCCCCTTGTAGCAATTTTTCTCCCTGATAGCCAATACACCACAACCAAATATAAAGAAACAATCTTTTTTTTCAAACTTGACTTAGGACGCAAAACTAACAGAATGAGAAACTGTAATGAATGGTAGTACAAGCAACAATCAACAATAAAGATATAAACTTGAGCACTCCATATGTTGTATATTCAACAAGCAACAATAAAGATAACATTAACTCATTAAACCCATGGTTCTAACAGCAGTTATAGTCAAAGTTGCAATTTCGCTCCACAATTTATAACTATTGAAGCATGCAAAATCAAAAGCATATAGTATAGTAAAATGATGACAAACTAGTTAGTTAGCCGACCTCGAATCGTATGTTCTTGTAAACAAGCTCTTCGACATTACTGCCAACAGTAGGGTTGGTAGTAACAACCTCACCAAGATGCAATTTATAGAGGGTTGTAGTTTTACCCGCGTTATCCAACCCAACAACAACAATCTTGTACTCCTTTGCAGGGAATAACATGAACCAGAATCTCGACATCACTGCCCCCATCTTCTCTCTTCCTAATCAATCACCACTATCTACTTCCCAAATTAATTTATCAAACCTGAAGTGAACAATCACACAAACAAACCAATTAATAAAAGAAAATCAGAATTTTCAACCTGGGTTGGATCGATTTCAAGATTATAGATCGAAGGAAAAACAAAGTATGAAGAAAGAAAACGATCGAACCTCGAAGGAAGCGTTGATTCTATTGCGATTGTGAAAAGAATCGGATCGGGGTTGCTTGCTATGAGAATTGGATTGGGTGGTGAGAATGGTTAGCGATTTAGCGATTTGCGAAGAAAAGTTTCAATTTTGATGTGGTTATCGATCGACGGAAGAAACGAATTATCTACGTCATACCATTATCGTATTGAAATATAGAACACTAAACCATTACCCCCAATTTTTTTCATTAAAAAAGATAAACTTTAAATAAATTTTTGTTTTTGTCCAAAAAAAAAATTGTTTTGAATTTTAAACTAATCTCGATTTTGAAACATAAACATAAAAATTAATACTTATAATAAATATGTTAATACAAATAATTAAAATATTATAAATATATAATATAAAAACTAGTAGTAATTTTAATAAGGGTTAATACCTATTTTTTTTTCCTAACATATGGGGTGTATTTGAAAAACCCCCTGCCAAAAAAAAAGTTCCAATTGTTATCTTGACAAATTTTAAAAGTTTCAGTTTTTACCTTAATGATGCCACATCACCTAAAAGGCTGATGTGGCTTATATTTTTGTTACAGTTGTAAGTTTTTTTTATTCCATGTCACACAATACACAATAAAATGTCCAAAATGCCCTTTTCTTAAAATCCCAAATTATTTGACAAATGTTATGTTTCAATTCAGACCCTCCACCTCCAAATTAGGGCGCAGCCATCTTCATCTCAGTTTGTTTGCAAAATTATTTTACAAAAAAAGCCAGTTTCAATTCAGACCCTGCGATTGGGGTTCTTCATCCTTGCAAATGGGTGTGTTTAATTTAGTGTTTCATCATGGGGGAAGTTTCGTGCAAGACGGCCATACGTATTATAGAGGAGGTAGTGAGACTACTGTTGAAGGTCAGGACGAAGATAAATGGAGCTTTTTTGAAGCTGTTAGTCTGGTTAAAGATTGGGGTTATGAAGGTTTTAGGCTATGGAGAAAGATTCCGCAAACGGATGAAGGGTTTACAAATGTTGTTGATGATGCAGGAGCTGTAGAAGTTGCTAAGCATTGTATGTCTTGTAGGGTTCACGGCGATATTTGGGTAGAGCACGGTGTAGAAGATATGATGACCAAGGTTCTGGTACCTAATGTTGATGACTTCAGCACCTCTAGTGGAGATGATAGTAGTGGTGACTATGTTGATGCAAGCCAATGTTTCAATGATAGTGAAGAGGAAAGAGTAATTGACGTAGAAGAAGAGCAATTTGAACGAGTGGAGGTAGCTGTTCCAGTTAGTGGGAATAGGGTGGAGATCGAAGGGAAATCATTTAGATTCAAGCGTTGTGCATCCAAGGATCCCAAAAAGATGAAAGAAAAGAGCAAAAGGGACAAGGTCAGTGTTTTGGTGCCCAAAAGTGTCTTAGGATCTTGTTCAAAGAGGGCTACAAGGAAATGTGAATATGTGGATTATGCTAGTGAGGAACTTGAAAGTTCAGATGCTGATGAAAGTGACATGGATGACAAACCTTCCAAGCCAAAGTATGAGAAGTTCAGATCAGAGCTGCTTAACAAAGACTTTCAATTCAAATTAGGTATGGAGTTCATTTCTCTTTCTGAATTTAGAGATGCTATCAGGGATTGGTCAGTATTAAATGGTAGAGAAATAAGGTTTGTTAAGAATGAGAGCTGTAGGGTTAGGGTTGAGTGTCAGAGTAAATGTGGATTTTTGGCATTGTGTAGCAAAGTGGGAGGTAGCCTCACTTACCAGATAAAGACTTGGGTGGGGACCCACACATGTGCAAGGGTATTAAATAACAAGTCTGCCAATTCCAAGTGGGTCTCTAAGTTAGTGGTTGAAAAGAGGAAGTCACAAGGGAAAGTTAAACTGTCTGAAATTATGTCTGAGCTTAGACAGAAATATTCAGTGGGCATTACCAAAGGGAAAGCTTGGAGAGCCAAAGCTATGGCTGAAGAAATAATTGAAGGTGATGCAAAGGAACAGTATAACATGTTATGGAGATATGCAGCTGAGTTGAGAAAACATTGTGCTGGGAACACTGTCAAACTAAATACTGAGAGACCACATCCAACACTACCACTAAGATTTGGTAGATTTTACTTCTGTTTTGATGGATGCAAGAAAGGGTTTACCAAGGGTTGTAGACCATTTATAGGGGTAGATGGGTGTCATCTTAAGACACAATATGGAGGTCAGTTGTTAATTGCTGTAGCAAGGGACCCGAATGACCAATATTATCCTTTGGCATTTGGTGTGGTGGAGACTGAGACAAAAGAAAGCTGGAGATGGTTTATGCAATTGCTAATGGAAGACATTGGAGAAGAGAGAAAGTATGTTTTTATTTCAGACCAACAAAAGGTACAAATATGCACTAATTACCTTTGTTATTCACATTTATGAAATATGCACTAATTCTGCACTAATATGCACTAATTCTGCTAATATGTACATGCTTTTTTCTGTTGTCTTGCTGTTTTTAGGGACTTGTTAGTGTCTTTGAGGAAATGCATCAGCAAGTTGAACACAGGGTCTGCCTCAGACACCTGTATGCAAATTTCAAGAAGAAATTTGGAGGGGGAGCTGCCATTAGAGACCTGTTATTGGGGGCTGCAAAGGCTACTTACTTCCAGGCTTGGGAGAATAAGATGAATCAGCTTAAACAAATTGATAAGAAGGCATGGGAATGGCTGATGGGAGTGCCAACAAAACTATGGTGTAAGTATTCATTTTCATTTTACCCTAAGTGTGATGTTTTGATGAATAACTTGAGTGAATCTTTCAATAGTACAATATTACAAGCTAGGGATAAGCCAATACTCACTATGGTAGAATGGATTAGGAACTACGTGATGAATAGGATTGCTAATAGTGTTGTTAAGCTTGATAAGTGGAAGCACAATGTCATGCCTAATCCTAGGAAAAGGCTTGATAAGGAAACATATCTTAGTGGAGAATGGCTGCCTACATGGAGCAGTGGTGATTTGTGGCAAGTCCATCACCCATATAATGGATTGCAGTTTGTTGTTGATATTGGGAGAAAAAAACCTGTACTTGTTGTTTTTGGGATCTTGTGGGCATACCTTGTAGGCATGCTGTTTCTGCATTACAGTATCAAAACTTAGATCCTGAGAAATATGTTGACCCTTGTTACATGAGAGAAGCTTACAGGGCATGTTATGAAAACAATGTTAGTCCAATAAATGGCATGGACATGTGGCCAACTGTGGATGTTGAAGAATTATTGCCACCACAATACAAGAAGGGACCTGGAAGGCCTAAGAAACTGAGGTTTAGAGAGTTGGATGATAATGGTTCAAGGATGAGGAGGGTAGGTGTAGCATATAGATGCACGCATTGTGACAAATTTGGCCATAATTCTAGGAAGTGTCAAGCTAAGGAGCAAGATCCTAATGCACTAAAGAGAAAGGTATTGTGTTCATGAATCTGTTACTGAATAATATTGTGTTCAGCATATTGAAATGTCTCTATTTATATTTGTTTCTGAATAATGCAGAGAAAGACACCCAGGACCAAAGTGTCAAAAAAATTGGATGCAAATGTTGATACAACTGCAACTGGAGGTGGAACTGTGGATGAAGGCCCAGAGATGGATGCAAATGTTGATACAACTGAAACTGGAGGTGGAACTGTGGATGAAGGTCCAGAGATGGATGCATTGCTGAATAATATGATGGATCTTTATGAAGAACAACAATCACAAGTTGACAATCCCACACAACCTACTGCTATGCAACCTCCCCTAACACATGAATCACAACCTGCTGCAATGCAACCTCCCCCAACACATGATTCACAACCTGCTGCAATGCAACCTGACCCTCCTGCTACTAATGTCAAAAAACCTTCAGCTAGGAAAAAGGTTGTGGTTCTGCCTTGGAAGCGATAAAGAAAGAGAGTCAGTGAAAGATTGAAGGAAGTGAGGAATGCCAAAAGACATGGTGGGCCTGGATCAACACCTGATGCACCTTTGACCATAGATGAAGAAACTTGTGGTAGTACCTCAAAGAAGATAGCAAGGAAGAAGAGGAAGGGAATTGATCAGTAGTTGTGCATATAGTGTGCTATTTTGTAAAATTCAATTTGAAAGTTTCCTGTGTCATTTTGTTACTTTGACTTATTATCAGAACAGGCTTGACTTAAGTTATGTATCATGTTATTGTCATTTTGTATCACACATGTACTTGACTATGTATCACAACAGATTTGCTTGACCATGTTAAAGTCATTTTGTACAACAGATTTGCTTGACTATGTATCACAACAGATTGGCTTAACTATGTTATTGTCATTTTGTACAACAAATTTGCTTAAGAACAGAATTACTTAACAACAGATTTGCTTAACAACAGATTTTGTACAACAGAATTACTCAACAGAATTGCTTAAGAACAGATTTCTAAAATATCAGAACAGATTTCCAAAATATTCCAAAACAGTTTTACTTAACAATATATCAGAACAGACTTAGCAAATATATTCCATAAGAAACCATAAGAAAGAAATATATTCCATATTCCATAACAAAGAAATATAATTCACGAACTAAATTTTACATAGGTTACAACTTCCTAGAACATAAGCCACAGCTTCATGAATTTTTACATGAACTAAGTAAGAAATGAACCAAAAGACAAATAAACCCAACTAAAACATAATTCAGCTTCTTTTTTAACTCATCCATTTTTTTCTCCATGGCTTCCATCTTCAGTGCGATATCTCTCTCCAGTTTGCTCATCAGTTCTACTGAAACTACAACCGAATGGCCGTTATCACCGAAATCATCAGAAAATTCATCATCCC